CCAGGTATCAGTGGTCAGATGGACCCTTGCCACAACACTGTGTGCCAGACATGCCATTACATCCTTTTGCACAATCGAGTACAGGTTGGGGATTGCCTTTTGTGAAAAGAAATTTCGTCCGGGTACCTTCCACTGCGGTGTTCCAATAGCTACAAATGTTTTGAACGCCTCAGACTCCACCAGCTTGTATGGTAAAAGCTGGCCGGCTAATGGATTAGGACAAACCAGCGGTCAGGCTGGGCAGGGGTGACTTTTCCTGGCGGCATTGTCTTCTTGCGGCTCAAACATGTCCTTGACAGACATACATGACTGTGGGAAGATGGCGTGAACTATCAAGCGGGAATGAATTGGCCCAGAGTTGATTTGAGAGGGGACAGGAGGACAGCAGTGGTTGACGTGGCTGAAGATGCTGGACCAGGAGGAGGCTGGCAGCTTAGAGTAGGCGAGCTGCTTGTACTCATGTGTTGATCCCATAGGCGTCTGTGATGTGAGATCATGTGCCTACGCAAAGCAGTTGTACCTAGGTGGTGTTGGACTTCCCACGACTCAGTTTCTTTTGGCACAGGTTGCAAATGGCATCGCTGTTGTCAGAGGCAGACACACAAAAAAAATTCCACACTGCTGGGCTCTGCAATGACGGCATTCTGGTGGTGGACACAGCATGCGTTGATTGGCGTGCTGTCGGGCTGACCCGGGTGCCGATGCATGCTGTCTGACTGTGCCACTAGCTCCTTGCGACGACCTCCCCCTGCTTCTAACTCGTCTCCTCCTCCTCCCTGTCTCCCCATCTGAACTTTCGCCCTGTTCTTCTTCTTGACGAACGGGCACCCACGTGACATCCATGGACGCATCGTCATCATCAACCGCTTCACTTGTATCTGACAACTCAGCAAAGAGCAGCAGCCCGAATTTCACGACATCATCATGTCATCATCACACCGTAAAATTGCATGTATTGTAATGCTGCCTGCCTGAGACATATCCCTGTTATCTACATTCCTCTGGCAATAATGGTTGCGCATCACTCATTTCTTCAAACGGATGTGTGAATAACTCCTCTGACATACCAACTGAAGCGGCTGTGGTGCTAGTTTTGGTGGTGGCGGCAGGCGGTGAGTGGTATCTTGAGAGGTGCCTGAAGCAAAGCTGGAGGAGGATGGTGCGTCAAGGTTCTGAGCGGAGGCTGTAGAAGATTGGGTGTCCTGTGTTAGCCAGTCAACTATGTCCTCAGAACTTTTCAAGTTCAGGGTACATGGCCTCTGAAAACTGGGCATTATTCTAGGGCCAAAGGGAATCACAGCCCCACGACCACGATGGCCCCTGCGGGGTGGCCTGCCTCTGCCTGTCATTTTTGTTGTGATTAGTGGCACTATGCGTGCAAGCTACTGTGAGACCAGATATGAGTGGCAATGTGCACTGGCACAGTTGTGCAGAGCACAGGCTGTAGACCTGACACCCGCTTGAAGATAACTAACTGCTATTCAATCTATAACAGTGAAAAAAGTTTTTTGTTTTTAAATCCAAGCTTTGTGTCACCAGATCTAAGTGGTGGCACTGGTCACCGTATCCACTGTTAGCGTAACACACCAGCTTTAAGGACACTGACTGCTATTCAATCTATAACAGTGAAAAAAGTTTTTTGTTTTTAAATCAAAGCTATTGTGTCACCAGATCTAAGTGGTGGCACTGGTCACCGTATCCACTGTTAGCGTAACATACCTGCTTGAAGATAACTAACTGCTATTCAATCTATAACAGTGAAAAGTTTTTTGTTTTTAAATCCAAGCTATTGTGACACCAGATCTAAGTGGTGGCACTGGTCACCGTATCCACTGTTAGCGTAACACACCTGCTTGAAGATAACTAACTGCTATTCAATCTATAACAGTGAAAAAAGTTTTTTGTTTTTAAATCCAAGCTATTGTGACACCAGATCTAAGTGGTGGCACTGTAAACTGGCAGAGTACACGCTGTAGGGCTGACACACCCGCTTTAAGGACACTGACTGCTATTCAATCTATAACAGTGTGTAGCCCGTGAAGTTACACAGGCTGCATTATCTGAAATGCCCAGTAGATGGCACATGGACTCAGTATGCTGTTAATAAAACATTGAGCTTTGATCACATGACTTGCTGAAATCAAGAGAGGAGTGTGGCATCATCGCAGGGCCTGGCAGGACTTCCTGCACAGCTCTGAGGGAGGAGGATTCTAAGAGAGACCACATGCTGAGCCAGAGAAAGGACATGTGAGAGACTGTAGCACAGAGATAGGGCCTGGCTGAGAGAACTTGTTTCACCCAAGATCACACCAGCTGAGAGAGGGACCTGCAGAAAAGGAAAGAAGACAAGCACTGAGTCCAGACGTCTGGCGAATCCAGTGAGAGGAGACTGCTGCTGACTGACTGGTTAATCGTGTTGTGAGGGTAAGCCAAGCCTCTCCCTGTATCACCACAGGGCACCTGTCTCCTCACTCACAGTAAAGACTCTGAGGTCCCGTGACGGACATTACACATCTGAGGCTGCTTCAGTGACCCTGCGAAGCAGGACTTATAAGGGCCCCAACTCTCCTATGTGCACCAACGGCCGCTAGGGCGAAGATAAGGGGGTGGGGCGCAGGTGTGCTGGTGGGTGAGTGAGGAAAATCCACATTTGCATTGTTATCTGTGTTACTCTATTGTATTTTTCTATGTATGTTGGTTCAATTGCTACTTACCATATAAAGTTAG